AATAACAAAACTATAGAAACTCCTCCTACCTAGAAAAAAAAAAAATTAAATGAATGTAACTGATATTAATTATTTTAAATTCAAATGCATTAAAACAATATCAGGGACAAATATCAGTTCAATTCCATGATTTTCAGACAGTTAAAAGGTGAGGAAAAACAAACTCCTACCTACTTACATGTTGATTAAAGTTATGTTGAGATGATGTAATCGATGTAGATGACCAGATACAAAATTAGTGTTTGGAGTACAGTGAGGAGTCGAAGCAAGAAGATGGTGAGTTTTAGGGCTAGATGTCAATGGACCAGGTGCATTTGGACATGACTCTATGTTTTGAGTTGTTAGAGAACATTCTAATCTGGAATATATACAAAATAAAATTACAACAATATGTCTAAAAAATTAAAAATTTCATTACAAATTTGCCAGACAGTTCTATTTTTTTTTTCTTTTCTAAACTGATTCCTCTCCAAAACAGAATCCAAAGTGACTTGAATCAATTCCTACTTCTTATCACTTTGAAAATTAGATAATAAATATTGTTGTTTCAATTATACATATTACTTCATCTTATTTCCTTCATAATTAAAAACTGTAACCATTATTTATATGCTTTGGTAAGAAATAAAGAAAAATAAATCTTATTACCCGACTTGGGTCTGCCAGATATTTTACACAATTCCATTTACTCACTACAGGTCAGTAGTTGCACAATGCATGGAAACAATTTTAAATTGTAATAAATAAAGTAAAACAAGTGTTCTTTATGATAAATCTTTTTTTTCGGGTACATAACATGGCAAAAAGGCTACTTACAACCACTCATAAATATTATACATACTTTAACTGAGCAGTCAAAAACGTACAGATAAAACTACAAATTCTAATTTAACTATCCTCACTCTATGTGCCCAGAGTTTGACTTTACACTTCAACAACTTTAAACAAGTATCACTTTTTAAATTTTTTCCAGAATTTAGTAACAATTCTCGCATTATTTTAAAACCAAAATAATTTCAAGTTTATAGAGTTGGAAACAAAAGAAGAACAAAGTTTATCTTTTAAAGAATGTAAGCTTAGTTGGCCTTAATTTATTAATTGTGTTAACTCTAAAAACCAAACCAAATGAATTGTTTATACTCTCAACTTGAAATAGGTTTTAACTATTCGGTTTACAAAACATCTTTTTATTGATCAAATACTCACTTGAGAGACTTAAGCAATATTTCTTTTTGTGATTGCAACTTTGTGACCTTCTCTTTTAGGAGCTCAATTTCTGCATCTTTCTCCTTTAGTTTCTGTCTTAGTATGTAGACAGTATCTTCCAAACTTTCACAAAATGCCTAAGATTTCAAAATTGCATTTAGAAACTTGATGAAGAACAAATGTAACACGAACATCAAGGTGTGGATTTTTCACACACACACACAAAAAAAATTTCAAGATTTTATTCAATAATTATATCAAATAATAAATACAATTTAAATTATCTCAATCACAATTTATATTGTTGTGGCATTGTACTTTCATTGGAAAGTTATTTTAAATGATACAATGGAAATAATTCAAAGTCCAGTCTAAGTACACTATAACAAATGAGTTAATTTCCTCATTTAAGATTTCAAAAAGTTTGAATACTTATACACTGTAACAAATTATTGTATGCCTATATTACAAATGACATTAACTAATGTAAAACAAACCATTTACTTGTATAAAATAACTTGATAAGCACATAAGCAAACACAGATCCAATAACTTCATGAAAACATACTGCCTGATTCAACTCTCTATCTTAAAAGAACTCTAAACACTTCATAACTACTTTGTATTTATAATCTAGCTTCAAATATACTATAAAAACTAAGTCACATCCTTAGACCCTCTAGTTAACAAAAACATTACAACATTGAAAATATAGATGGATAAATTTTGAGACAAAACCTCAAGAACCAGAGCTACTGTTTGTTGTGTATTATGAAGCATATTAATTTCCAGTGGATGGTGAAACTTGTACCATGAAATCAGTTGTGATGTTTCAAACAACATCGGTTTTTTTTTAGCTCAGCCTGGATAATGACAAAGAATGTCATGATATAGAATAGTGTGTGGTACATCTTGTTTAGAGAAGTACCTTTATACTTTGGGATGACACAATTATAATATTAGCCATATTTGCTGATACTGAATAGCAAATAACATACTATGACCCATTCAGAATTGAAATATGATGTTATGCTAGTTAGATTGAAGATGATGAATATTATCCAGTGTCTCAAAGTGTGGGAAACACAACCACATCATTTATCATCTCATTGCAATACCACAGAAAGAGCAAACAAAAGTTTAATCTTCATTTAAATATAAATGAAATAAGTTTACTTACTGATCATAAGTATTATTTTACAAGTTATATCTTTTATAGTAAGGAAATTAGTTTTATTTAAACAGGTAGATCAGTGGTGAAACAACTCTCAAATACACAGATTTAAATACGTAAACATTCATAAAACACAAGTTTCTACATTCAATTGTGTGGTATTTCATTGTAATAAAAACAGTATTTTACCTTCATTTCTTTTCTGCTAATTTATAACAGAAATATTTAAAAGTTGAAAAAGACCAAATGAATTTGTTTGAAATTGTGATGATTAGATTTTCTAAAAGCAAACTTAGGTCTTGTTGAAAACAAAAGCACTAGATATTAGTCATGGAACAAATAACAGCTACGGTTCTTTGCATACTATATCATGCATTTCTTTTTCCATTATTGACACATGGTCAAATTAATGATAAACTACGAGATGTTGATGTATGAGGTATTGATAAAAAATAATAAAAGTTAAAGCATTTGTTCATATATCTTTGACTAGATATCTTAAAAATTAAAATTGGATGTTTCAAATATCTGTTCTTATAAAACAAAGCTTTATCCAAATGTTATACTGATGACATTTGGCTTTTTAAAATAGTTCAGCCCAATTGAATGCTTATTACTTGAGAAATTTTACATGCTGAAAATGATGTCACACTATTTTAAATAAAAAATTTATTCTGTTGTACAGGATAACAATCTTTGTTGTTACACACTGACAAATCATAAGATTTATTATCCACTCTTTCAGTCATCAGAAATATGTTAAAAACCTTACTCTACTGTCTTCAAGCGTTTCATCATGACCAGGAGGCTCATCAGCACAGATAAATTCTTGGACAGGTTTACTAAAACAAAAATATTAATGAATAAATAAAAGCACACCAAACCAAAAGTAAAGATAATGGTTTCTGTGAAAGCTCTTATTGTGATAGCAAATATAATTCTTCCTTGAAAACACAAGCAAAATATGACCATTAGTAAATTCAATCTTACTAACTTCAATACAGACAATGATCTTTATACTTTATTTTTATTAATTATATAACTGGTTCTGTTATTAGGTATTTGTTACAATTTTCTTATTAAAATATCCAAAAATATACTTATTTTGTGGTGAAAAGTTGTTGAGTTTATATCTAAAAAGTAAGGACCACTTATCTTAGACTTCACTGCCATCAAACTTTTATCATCATTACAGTGGTAATGGTAAACAGTGAAAGGTTACATTTTTAAACACTACGATTAACTTATTTTGTATGATAGTGTCCACAAGTCTTTTCTAATCAGTGTTTTATCTAGTTTTTACTTATCAAAATAGTGATTAATAAAAATATAAATTTTAACAACGCTTTCAACACAGATTGTGTCCACATTTAATTTGGCTGCCTTCAGCATTATTTACTGTGACAGAGGTAACATTTAACAACAGTTGTTTTCTTAACAAATATCTTACAGCTGATTAAGTTGCAAAAGCACAAGTCTGATATTTATGTTAAATTCACCTTTTAAGGAGATGTTTCTGAGTAATTATACTATTTACAAATGACTGCAGCCCCAGCAATCGGTCTTCCAGGAAAATAGGATCAAAATTGTCTCCAAACCACTTCCTACCTGGAAGCTTAAGCCTGAGGCCAGGAAACAATACTCTAAGCTGAAAAGCAAAAAAATAAAACTAATTAAATGCTAGCTTGATCCAGTTCACTAACAATATTCTAAATAGAGAGCCAGATGGCAATAGGCATCATCAGCAGTGGTAAAGCACTATTACTTTATTAAGCTATTTGATTTGGTTGGTTTCATAGAGAGTGAAGAAGTAACATAAATGCTCTTTCGTGTGTTCTTATGAATATGTCTTTTGGCTTCCAGAGGCTTGAAAACAAGTATTTATTTCAAAACCACACATACTGTACATGTGACATTTATTTCTATAAATGATAGGGTTAAATACTAGATGCTGGAAGACTAATCATCAGAACAGTGAAATAGTTTACTAACTAGTGAATGAGTTTTTTTTTGTTTGATTTTTTGCTATATCATTGTGTTCCAATACTATTTATCCAGTCCTGATAAACTTCCACTCTTTGAAACATACATTATTTCAACTAACAACTTAGTAAAGAATACTAACCTTTTATATACTACTTATCTAGTAATTACACAAGAAAAAAAGTATATTCCTTATTCATTAATAGTTCCAAGATTATAACAATCATAAATAACTTTGTAATTTTTATTTTCTACATTATTTTCTATATTTAGAATATAGTTAACAATAAACATCCATGAAATTTTACTGAAATAAGAAAAAGAAATAAACATACTTTTTTATTTAATCGAACGAAGTCAGTATATCTTCTGAACACAAACCAGCTTCTTCCATTTATTTGATCTTCAATTCTTATCTTAAACACCTTTGGAAGGGAACAATAACGTTAGTAAATACTGTTCCAACAAGAATTTGAAAACCATATTTAGTATGTTCAGTCTGAACTACATTATATACACACACACACACACACACACATACATACATACATAAAATTCTAATGGTTTTTTTGTTATTGCTGTTAAAAATATAGGAATTAATTTTTCTGAATTACAAGATGTATGTTTCATATATGGTCTGACCAAAGTGTCTTGAAGTTTACCAAAAGTTCAAATTCTGGGCCTTTTATATTTTGCCAAATAAAGTAATGTAAATTAATTATATTGCACTAAATCTGAAACATTTTTCAGTATCAACATAAGTCTGATACAAGAAATACATACAAAGGTATTTTTTATATTATCGTGCATTTAGAGATCTACAGATGAGAAAAGCTTCCTTCCTGTTTTAAGGTCATAGATGTCATTTTAGGTTATTTTTCTGTATTAGTAACAATGTATCATGAAAAATATAACTTTGCAGAAAACTTTCCAAATATTTTATGATTTAAAGAAAATAATATTACAAAAAAAACAAAAAACGATACACATGTACATCATTAGTACAGTATTGTAAATCAGATGAAAGTGGCCCATCTTAAACTTCAGACACCACAATTTAAACTTCTCAAGAACAAATACAGGTAAACAGTACATATTTTTTCACAAACTAGATTGTAACATGAAACCATTCATTGTATAGAAATGACTCAAATGGTTGATCCACACTAGAGCAAGCAAGATTAGCTTTCCTGTATTATTAAGTAATTTTGTTATTTTCTAGGTAAATATTCCATATGTTTTTCTTGGTTGAAAAAAAAAAAAAGTTAACTCACTTGAAATACTCATAGGTGCTTCCTCAGTTATGATAAAGCTAACGATTCTTTAAACTGGTACAAAACCAAGGAAAAACCAGATAATTGAATTCAAAATGAGGAGGGTGGAAAAAACACATCACTTATTGTTGGGTGGAAAAAGTTTACAATTAAAATCTAGAGTACTAGTTTGTCCTCAACAAACAAAACACAGAAATAAAAAAAAACCTAGGTTACAAGCAAAAACCTAGCTCTGATAGCTAGTATATATATACATTTCCCCCAAACTTTCTTAATCCTGTTAATTCTGATTAAATGCCAAATTTTAGTTCCCTATAACATTAAAGAAACATTTTTTGCTGCAAAAGTGTTACACTAATGATAGATTTTTTAATCAAATTGCATCACATCTATTATTTTTCAGTGTTTATTAGTCTGTTTTTGAGTAATAACACAAAAGCTTTTGGAAAAAAATAATAATAATGTGTTTGTGACTACTTTCTTACACCATTACTTCTTGTTCTACTGAAACTTAAAACACTTACCGTGAAACGAGCTCGTTGTTCTGTAACCTCATACCCTACAATTGGCACACGATAGTTTGGGTGATCATTAGGTGGAACTAAAGAGTAAGACTGCTGTGGTGAGGAACCTTCTTCTTGTGTTGATATATCACACATCACACCACTTGTACTGATGTCACTGCTAGAATTCAGAGAACTGAGCTTACTGCGTGTTCCACCCATTCTTTCATCTAATATTTTACTGTCTGCTACACTAGCTTCAGGTTCTTGTTCTAAAACTTCCAGATTTTTCTGGTTATGTCTTCTAGTTCTGAAGAATTTGTCTTATGAATGAATAAATTGGCAATAGTGGCAGATGGATTCTTGAGCCTTACCTGCAGTGTTTATCAGTTCTCTACCTTTCTTTATATAAAAGGCTGCTACCTGATGCTAAATGGATCACTTTATGGCTAACTGCTGACATTGCAATAATGCCGTATTAGTCATACATGACTTGCCAACATTTCAAATTCTAATACCTGCAGGTGATAAACAACATGAATTGCAGACACTAAATATTTATAGCTATAGCTAAATTTGAAGGTTTTAACCAACTTTATTCTTCAACATGTATTCAAAATTTATCACAAAGTTTTCACAATTCATGGTATTTACAACTCTAGTCATTCTTGCCATTTTATTTAATTACTAACAAGACTCATAAATGGGCTTACTCTATCTTAAAACTATTGTAATAGCAAATTTTTAATCATATTCCTAGAGTCATCTTTAGGTTAAATGAACATTCTAGAGAATAAAGGTTTTCTAAAATTCTGTAAACTAAACAATGAACTAATGCAGATTTTATATCACTGGAAACAGAGCAGTCGTAAACCATATTACAAACTTATCAAATTAGCTACAAGCTGAAAAAAATTCAAATGTTGACATTTTAAATTTAAGATGTAAACAACAACTAACATTTTCTGGTACATTTCCATGAACTTGCTACCTTGAGACTAGTGAGTTTCACAACATTTCAGTAATCTTCTGATTGCCTTCATCAGGTTTGGTGTGTGTCATTTTGTAGAGTATTTATAGCTGTGAGGTGGCCTGACTTGTATGCTAGATATGTTCTAACTGGTTGTAAGCGCTACTTTCAGAGGGCTTAGTTGATGAGTGTAAGCCTTTACGAAAGTTGCTGAGTTGATGAAAAAATGAATTCAAGATTTGATGAAGGCAAATGGAAATATTACCAATACATCATCAAACTCATCAATCTAAAGTAACAAGATTGTGGAAATGTACCAGAAACATGATCAAACAACTGCCTCCAAAATCCTTCAAAGAATATCAAACACCATTACACACATATTTTATGATATAGGCTATCAGTATATGCCAATAACATAGATTAGACACTGCAAAGAACAATTCACAATATATATATAAATAAATATGAGTATTTCTAATCTGGATCTTCTAGAAGAAGTGATTTTGTTTACACTGCTCTGATTCCTTGATATCATATGTTTTTGATTGTCAAGCCTTTTTAAAATCTTTATACTTTACAATGTCAGCCTAGAGACAGTTCTAAGATTAAGCCCAAAATCAAGTTCTTTATGTATCTTGCTGCTGTTCTTTCCTACATTTCACAAACAAAATTCAATAATTGTTAGGATTAAGAAAAATCATGTAGGTGACAAGAACAAACAAACAACATTTATGTATAACAATATTAAGCACCTAATAATGATTCATCATGTGAGGGGAACAAGGAATTTAAAATGTTAATAATAACCTTATCTAGTAACACAAATTAAAAAATAAAAGGCAGATAATCACATAAATATGTTATCACTTTTAAACAAACTAATACAAATAATTAATGTAATAAACTAGAACAAGGATTTTTATCACAATGATGAAGTTGAGAAGTTATCTCAAAACTAACAATACACATTGTACAATAAAATGCCCTCAACATTGACAGCAGTAAAATAAGTTTAATACAGGATATCACTGGCATGGATATCATTAGCACAGTAAAAGCCTAGTGAGGTGTCTGCTTAAAAATATTTAAAATTATAATAATCAGAAACAGTAATTTTGGTTAATTGTGACATTAATTGGTGCTCATAGGTAAATGATTATAGCAATTAATTAAGTTAATTACCCAGCTCTAGTCTAAACACCATTTAAATTTATTTTTTCCAGTCATAGGCTAGAGACATAAAAGAATGTATCTGCAGCACAAATTTTTTTATATTTTTTTATCTATCTAATATTTCAGCACACAGAGGTTAAAAACAAGTAGCTAAAATTTAAAAATACTTCATACATTAGACAACATTTGTTTAAGAATCTATGTTTAAATTTAATTTTACATCAATAATCATCAATCAACACTAATGAAATGATTTTATATTAAGAAAATATGTAGCTCTCAACTGAATTATTTCAAGAACATTAACATCAGTGTATATTAATATCCACATTGGATCTCAAAATGCCACAAGTTTCCCATAAAAATTAAACCAATTATTCTTTCACCTTACAAAATCTTAAGTTTATGAATTATTTATGATATGCATAATAGATATATGCTTATGTTTATCTTTTCAGTTTTAAAGACTAAGACTAGTGTATAACAATTTTAACACCTGCTACATGAGCCAGCCCAGCATCTTTTAGTACTAAGCCTAGGATGGACAACAGAGAGGTCATTCTGGAAACTGGTGTTTTAGGGTTATTTTGATAGATCTCGATGAATGAAGCTCAACACAACTTCTAAATTGAAAAACAAAATTGAATATTTATGAAAATATGACATGATGAAACTATATGGATTATACTATGGTAGTACACTACTTGGTATCATACCATCCTTCTTATATTTACTCTTCATTGCAGAAATGGAATTTTCAATTTGAGAACCGCTAGGAAAATCATCTTGTAATGCATCATGCACCTACTTCAACTTCAATGCAATAATGAATTGATGAATCTCTGATTCAGCTGGTACGTCAGATCAATTGGGATATGTTTGAATAAGTTCTTCCCTCATCTGACCTGGACCCACAGTTTAGCTTAATCACTACTACTAAACCATCACATTCACAACCACATCTAGAACATTTCAAGCATGTTTCATTACTGCATTGTTTTACTTTACATTTGCAAGTTAACTCCTCCATGTTGGATCTCATGGTCTCATGTCAGATCACAGGCCTGGTCCAGCAACCTGAAAAATAGTGCCAAGCATCTTCTTTTTGTCTAATAAAAACTAGCCAAACTTTTCTAGAATTACTTTTTTTTTTTATTCCACATCAAGATGCCAGGCTGGCTCGTGCAGCAGGTGTTAAGATGCTGGAAACTAAGAAAAATGAGAGAAAATCTATACACAATGAATAAATGATTTAAAAATTGCAAAATAAAATTAATGAGAAATGAAAAGCTAATGTTGTATTTGTCAAAATGATTGTTTAAAATTCATAAGGGACAAGAGCTGCTAACTGATATCCAGTCACAGGATCTGTAAGGTTGTAATATGCATAATAAACAATACAATAATGAAATGGAAAACATAAAAAGGATACTAGTGTCTATACAACTTGAAAGACTGTTTAAATACATTTACCTTGCAATAATAAAAAAAGTGCCTAAAGTACAAGAAAGACTACGTCTCAACTAAAGCTGTGATTAGTGGAATTTGCTAATCTAATAATAGTCGAGGTCATTAATCAATTACATTCAACTCATTGATTATTCTTACATCAATTATATTCTACTCATCCAATGCTCCTTCTAATTTTTTCAATCCATGTGCAGAATGAATTTTCTCATGAGCACCAGTATCAAAGCAATGTGCAGATGTATACTACCAGTTTTTTTGTTTGTTTATTTTTTGGAGGGGGGTGGGATTTTTAGACCATCAATCCAATTGGTTCATTAAGGCCTTCAAGGTGTTGAGGCTCCTCACCATTACTGAGGATGTGTGTGGCTGGAATAATGAAGTGCATGGCACTTGGTTGTTGTGCAGCCACACAGATTAGAGGGAACGCTACAACTCATTGATTACTTTCACAAGTAACTTGGATAGTTCAAATTACCAAAAACGATAATAATCCAAAACAGTAGTTTTGATTAATTATTATTTTTGTGGCATTAACTGGTGCTCAAAAGTAAATGATTATATCAGTTAATCCCCCATCTCTACTCTAAACACCATCTTAATTTTTTTTTCTTTTTGCAGCACAAATTAGAAATATGAATTGAGATCTTGTTTGCTACTCATCATGAAATGAACAGAACCCCCTTCTTGTTAATAATAATGATTATGTTTTATCTAAAGCATCAGTCTCTACACTACTAAGAATTTCTCAAATCTATTTCAAAAAGAAGAGCATCTCAGCCACAACAGACTTAAACATTAAAGTGAGTTGATGGTGATATTAGATGCACACACATTCTTTTATAGTCTTGCAGACTCGGGTTTACATCTTAGTGGGTTGCCTCGTCAATGAAATCATTTCCAACTAGGAAAATTGTTGTGATTGTTAACTGATGGAGTGACAGTGCAGGCATAGTTTTTGGGAGATTCTATACCATCATCACTGTAATCTTTTGGAAATTCTAATGTACTCCACCTGTGATTATTCTTTACTGTGACACAGTTCTGCTGCTATTTTTCTTTCACATACAAAAAAAACACTAATTATCTCATGAAAATACTTATTTTTTATGATTTGAAAAAGGCAGAAATATGTTTATCAATTTAAAACACTCCACTTTAGGACACCCATTATAACTATGGTATTTGAACTCCTTTTCATCCTTAATTTCTGATAAAATTTTGGGACGCACTTGTCAGTCAACATTTATCAGAATGAGATTAAGTGGGTATCATTTTCTGTACTCTGTCTTCCAAGGTACCAATGTATGTTTATTTCTATGTATTTCAGATTAATAAGAAAATTGGAATCCAGTTTGCAAATATATATTACATGCAGTGCAAGTTATCAACAAACGCGATTCCAGTCAGTAGCTCCAAGATTCCACACATCAAACGATTGGGTGAATAACTACTACTCAATAAAGCTTAATATAGTTAGATAACCGAATATCCGCTAACGTTCTGTTGAAGTAAACTAGTTGCGTAATATTGTCCAAAAACTACACAACCCCTTTTCCTTACTATAGTTGGGCTAATGATAGTTGAAACTGTTCACATTGCACCTCCCGGTTACTGACGTTTTAGTTTTATAACTCGCTTTATGTTTATTCACGTTTTTGTTCCAAGAACTGAAATGTGAATCTGTTGTAAAAGTAAAACTAAAATATTTGTTCTTACTTGCTTCATGTCCAATACATTAAATCTTAATACTTATAGTTATACTCACTTATAGATTCATAAACAACTGATTTGTCACCACTGAAAATAAATGAAATTATTTATATCATATTTAACTTTTAAGGTAGGCAAAAGTGTTTAAATATTCAGAATAGTAAAGTCAAATTTCATTACACTGTATAAGTACAGGCCTAGAGGCTAGAGTAAATCTAATCATTTGAGAGATAAATTAATAATTAACAGCACAAGTTACGATAGTTGTTCATTTTATTTGTTCCCAAAATACGATATAAAAACAAATATTATGAAACTGTATAAGCGTTCGAATTCTAATAGTAATATATAGCACTTCATTATTAAAGATTGGCAAATATAACTCACCCATTCCAGGCTTGTTATAAACAGTATTATAATCACATGCACCACGAGTAGAAGGTCATGCGAATATGATCGTGCAAGTGTTTTGGTTCTCGTTTGCATGAATGACGACTTACTGGCGTCAACTCACGTAAATAACGTAACTTGGCAACGACCACTGAAATTGGTACAGGTTTGATTTTTCTTTAAGGATACTTTTGCATGAAATCCTTATAAAAAGACCATGTTTGTTACACAGATAAAAAACATTCAGGTAAATTCATGTTTGAAAATATAACATTAACAATAATGTGTATTTGTATGAAAATCGTTTATTTTGAATTGTTCTTTGAATTTATATGTGATGTGCTTTTGACTGACTCAACTTTTCCCCCAAAAAGAAAAAAAAATAGGGAGAGGGTATAATTGCCATAATAAACGCTGGTGTTGAGGTTAAAGGTTGGTCTCACTGTCAATAATTCCTTAAAAAACTAAAATGTAGAGATGTTATTTGTGACAAAAATCACGTTAAACTTAAGTTAACGTTTTTATTTGTTCGTTTGTTTGTTTTTTCATATTTCATTATGTTGGCTGCGACTATAGCTTTCCCCCTCTTCTTATGTATTTTAGAGGATAAACAAAAATTATTTAGAATCACACAATACCAACGTCATTTACAAAATAACAAGCAATAACTGCCCAGAATTCTACATAGGAGAAACAGGAAGAAAATTGGAAACCAGATTGACAGAACACAATAAAAAACCGT